TTAAGCCAACTCTTTCACTCTCCTCTTTCACTTTCATCAAGAGGCTCTTTAGTTCCTCCTTGCTTTCTGCCATAAGGGTGGTATCATGTGCATATCTGAGGTTATTGATATTTCTCCTGGCAGTCTTGATTCTAGTTTGTGCTTCATCCAGACCAGCATTTCTCATGATGTACACTGCGTATGAGTTAAATAAGCAGGGTGACAATATACAGCCTTGATGTACTTCTTTTCCAAATTTGAACCAGTCTGTTGTTCCATATCCAGTTCTAACTATTGCTTCTTGACCTGCATACCAGTTTCTCAGGAGGCAGGTAAGGTGGTCTGATATTCCCATCTCTTTAAGGATTTTCCACAGTTTGTTCTGATCCACACAGCCAAAGGCTTTAGTGTAGTCAATGAAGCAGAAGTAGATGTTTTTCTGGAATTCTCTTGCTTTTTCTGTGATGCAGCAGATGTTGACAATTTGATCTCTGGTTCTTCTGCCTTTTCTAAATCCAGCTTATACATCTGGAAGTTCTCAGTTCACGTACTATTGAAGCCAAGCTAGGAGGATTTTGAGCATTACCTTGCTGGCATATGAAATGAGTGCAATTTTACGGTAATTTGAATATTCTTTGGCATTGCCTTTCTTTGTTATTGGAATGAAAACTGACCTTTTCCAGTCCTGTGGCTGTTGCCAAGTTTTCCAAATTTGCTGACAGCTCAAGTACAGCACTTTAACAGCATCATCTTTTAGGAGTTGAAATAGCTCAGTTGAAATTCCATCACCTCCACTAACTTGGTTCGTAGTAATACTTCCTAAGGCCCTCTTAACTTCACACTCCAGGATATCTGGCTCTTGGTAAGGGATTACATCATCGTGGTTATCTGGATCATTAAGACCTTTTTTGTACAATTCTGTGTACTGCACGGTAAAAATTCACCAGAAGAATCACTAAGTCAAAGTGTACCAAGGCTATTGATCCATTTTGACAAATAGCCTCTAAAAAGGTAAAAGTTTTTCTGTACTCTGGGGACTAGCAATGTGTTAGTTCCTTTAAGATAGCAAAATCCAGTGATTCCAGAAGCACAAGGAAACTGAACAAAATGCTTGAATCCCTTCCTTTTCCTGCAGCCTGTGAGGCAACTCAGATATGTGGGTCCCTAATCTGGACCCTCAACCACTTTCTGTCTCCCTGTTAGATGTTCCTCCAGGGGTGTGTTTCTTGGAATGTGTTCATGTATTCCCACCCTAAAGGGCTCTGTGATTAAATAGGTTTGAGAAATAATGTATGCTTTGTTAGCTTCTTGAAGCTTAATATGAACTTACCATATTCAAGGCTTTGAAAAATTCTAAAGCAATATCTTTTAATTTTCCCCCAAACTTACTTGATTAGGTTAGCTTTTTTTTTTTTCATGGACTACCACTAACATTTGGAAGAACACAAGTGTTTCATCAGATTCATTTTGAGAAATGTTTCTATAAGATGTACATTTTATCTCTTGTTAACATCAGCTGTTTATTTTATGAGCTGTTTTTCCCATGAGCAAACAGCATTCACCACAATTTCTAGTATTTTTCTTTAGAGAAACCAGGGAAAGCTAGGGCCCCAAATACTCTTGAAATACTATTTTGTGGATAGTAACAAGTCACTGAAGCTTTTTAAGCAAAGTAATTGTGAGATTGGATCTGGGTTTTTAGGAGAACTAGCATAACAAGGACGTGCCACGTAGATGAAGATAAGGCTAATAGAGCAACATCTTAGACAGGAGATAGAAGGGCTGGAACTGAAGCTGTGGCAGTAAAAATGGGAGGGCAGGGCCATGCATGTGTAAGAAATAAGAATCAGTGGGTCCGGTAACTTGATTGCCTCGGGGGGAGGGAATATGTTGTGAAGTGATTTCAGGCTCTGCATGTGGTTTAGACTGAATGAATACATTTGTATTTAAGATTTTTTTATCTCAAGTCATTATCAGTCTACTTGAAAATGATTTCTTTTTGACAAGCTTGTTTACTTCCATTGACATTTAGACCTCATAGAATCAGGTCTCTCTTTCTTTCTCGTATATATTGCTTTGCACTTTATGGATCCTCAAAATGTATTTTCTGATAACTTTTTCAAAGTCCTTTCTGGCACTTTTGAAATCGTACGGTAGAGAGGAATTTCAGAACATTCACCAGTTCACCCCTGTGTGCTGCAAATGCTCCAGACAGTAAGTTGCCTTTTAGAAAAATTCAGAAGTAACCATCCATAATAACCATCTCTATCTTGAAGTGTTGTAAAAAAATCCTTCATTCAGGTATTTTTTAGTTAACTTGGGATTGCTCCCACTCCAGTTTAAGCTCTTTTCCAGTCCCAGGAAGGAGAAGATCATTCAGTTGTGTCCACCTCTTTGTGACCCCATGGACTATAGCCCACCAGGCTCCTCCGTCCATGGGATTCTCCAGGCAGGAACACTGGAGTGGGCGCCGTGTCCTTCTCCAGGGTAGCCTCCTTCCATGCTCTAAAACTGCATCCATGCCACCTGGTCTGCTTCCTTTGAGAGCCCCAAAGGTCTGCCCAGGGGACCATTGTATAACTAAATACAAAACACATAAGGCATTTATACCATTTATGTAAGGATCACAGTTATTTTTCACCCTTTGGTAGATGCCTACAGAAGGTATGCCACGAATTAGGCTTTTTTTTTTTCTTTTTAAAGCAGCTCATTCAAGGAAAAACAGGATTTTTTTGGATGACAAAGGACACCAATATTGATTTACATTTCTTAGCAGTTTTATTCCAGTTGACAGGTTTATTGGAAGATAGAGGCAGAGGAGACTATCTTTCATTTGTAATTTCACAGGGCAGCTGCTGCATTCCATTGCACTGTGTATGATTAGAAATGTCTTAAGATAGTGATTCTGCAGCTGCTCTTAGGTTCCCTTTGATAATCTGATGAAAGGTTATGGACCTTCCCAGAAAAATGTTCTTACAAATTCACATACATTTTTATATGTAATTTCATAGATACCAGCATATGGCTTTGCTTTTCCAAGTATAGTGTTTATTTTTAACAATATACCTTGTTCAATAAATTCCTTTATTTATTCCTCACGTATTTTTTGCACATTTGTCTCAAACCAAGCCTGAATACAGTGTAGAAGGAGATAAACAAGGACTCTGCCCTCATGAAGCAGTAAACAGACATCACATTCCAGAATTATCTAACACTTTTTAATTATAAGTGCAGGAAAGGAAAAAATGTTAGTGAAAGAATGTTTTTGGGGGGTGCTATTTTGTATAGGGTGGATTTGAATCACTGCTAAAACAAAATGGGAATCTTAAAAGCAAGAAATAAAACATATCTCTATAGGGTTTTTAAATATAAAATCAGATTATTAGACTTGTAAGAGCATGCAGTTTTTCCCACCTAGAGTCTGGCTCTGCTGAGAGCTGGGACGGCTTTTCTATCCCCAGCTGGCCCTGAGCTGATTTGTATACTTGTCCCACCCTCACCCTCCCCAGCCCACACCGTCCCGCCCCGGCTCCCATCAGCCTCGGAGCGTGAACCTGCTGCAGTGTGCAGTGGCGAGGACCGCTGCGCCAGCTGCCTCTTGTTTCTGCTCTGATATTTGGCTACCCAGGCCACCTCACAAGAGAAGTAATTCACTTCAGCGTTTTCTTGAGATTAACATATAATTAATTTCTGCCACTCTTGACAAAATATCTAAATTACTCAAGCAGAAAATGCAGCAAGGCATTTGATCTATGCTGCTGAAAAATGATAAGAATTAATGGTGTTTGTGAAAACAGAGCAAAGGGACCAGGTACAGCTTAGAATTTTCAATTTGCTGTGGCTCTTCACCAGCAGTTCACATATCATATTACAGAGCTGTGGGAAGAACTGGTCCGGAGCTCCTCTGAGACTTGGTTTGATGTACTTCTTTCTTCTGTAATTCTGTACCCTTGTCTAACGCCTTACTCCCTAGCGTCTGGGCGCCTCCTGTGTGTTGGCCACTAGGGGTGCAGCGGTAACCAGTCCCTGCCCTCGTGGAGTTTCCAGTCTTATGGGGAAAGTAGACATTACTAAAATAATCATCTCGGTGGCCACCTATTTACAGCCTGATTTAAGAGTGATAAAAAAGAGGAAAAGGGAAACGTTTCTACAACACATGTAAGAAGAGACTTGGTGGAACAGCAGTGCTTCCCTGGAAGTGATGCTTGAGCTAACAACTGAGCGGTGGGGTGTGGTAGAAGCTTTACAGAAAGAGAACAGGCAGGGTGTGGCAGTGCAGACTGAGAGGCAGGGCACAGAGCTGGGAGCTGGGACTGGGGAGGACTTGGATGTGAAGGGTGAGGCAGATGAATCTCCGGTTTCCGGCTTGTGCACCTCGCGTGCCTGTGGTGCCGTTCACAGCAGTGAAGCCAGGTGTGGCGCAGGGAGCCTGCGTGGTGAGGTGCAGACAGAGTGGAAGAGTCAGATAGGCAGCTGGTTATCAGAGTCACGGACTCATTGGATGGGTTTGAGTCAGATTAAAATTCACATGTTCTTTACTGAGCAGATTAATAGAAGCGTGGAGCTAAGATAACTTTGAGCTTTCTTTTTTTTTTAATTCAAAATATTTTAATTTCAAATGATTTGGTTTGTAGGGTCCCTAAAAACCACATTCTCTATCTTGGGTATAGTCATCCTTGGTTTAATTCAACAACTGTTTATTGAGTGGAGTACATTTATATGTAGGTAGAATGTAATTACACACAGGTCATGAACCCAGGCTAAGCTCTCTCTGAGTTCAGTAAAAAATATCACATTATTCTTTCCAGTAACAGAAGTTTATGTTAAATAACTATGGATTTACTTGTATTTTTTTGTGAAATCTTTGTTTACAATCCCTTGCAGTGCTCTTCTGGCAAGTGTATCAACCTTCCTATATTCAGTTGTTCTCCAGGGGAGAAAAAGATGTTTTAGTGAACTTGAAACATGTTCATGATGGTTTAACATAATGAACTTTTTAAATAAATGTTTCTTTTCTCCAGATTTGAGGTTGAATTTGTCCTCTCAGCACCTACTTCCGAATGGAGTGGCAAACAGGGATACATTTCACCAGCTCTGCTCTCTGAATTTTTGAAAAGAAGTTCAGACACATCCAAAGTCCTCATCTGCCTTTGTGGACCAATGCCATTTACAGAACAAGGAATGAAGTGAGTAACAATGTGGTAGGTGAAAGAAATGCAGCACTGGTGAAATGACCACCTTCTATAAAAAGCAGCTGATGTGGCTCTCAGTTCTTCCTGTTCATATGAACCCGTGCTGTGGTAGTCTGTCACAGTGTAAGAAAATCATAACGAAGTGTTTAATCTGTATGCAGTGAAGGGTTGGAGGCCCCAGTTACGCACAGAGTTAAACGCGAACACAAAAATAAGACATACCCAGCTCTTGATAGCCTCTCATAGTGGTAGGCAGCATGAACACATTCACAGAATGGGTGCCCGGTCTTTTCTGGGATGCTAGATTCCACCAGAGCTTCATAATATATAATAATCTTTTAGAAATATAAGCTGTGTTCATCTCATTTTAGCTTTTGATCCTCCTTCACTCTCTGCAGCTGGGTGAGCATTAGTCAAAGAGTTGAACTCTGCACAATGAAAAATCAGTGGTATGACTATCTTATTTAAAAATCACCTTGATCTGATTTAACTCTAAATGACACATTAACATGTTTTGGTTAGGTATAGTGATAGCCACTGTTACTGGGTTTCTAAATGATTTTAAAATATAGCTGCCTTAAAGGCTCTGCATTTTCCTTGTTTGGTATATGACTGAACCTAACACTTTCTAGTTAGTTTTCTCTCTTACTGTTTTATTTTTAATTATGAAAAAGGCAGGAGGTGTGGCTGGAAAGGTAGGGTGGGATTAGATGGTGAGAGGCTTGCCCGCTGTACCACACTGGTCCTTTTGACTCCTGTGCCATCCTGACCCTTGGTATGAATATGTGTGTCTGCTCTGGAAGCTACCAGTTTGGGTTGGAGTCCCAGCTCCACCGCTTACAGTCACCCTGCAGCCACTAGCTATGAGCCAAAGCTTTCTAAACTTCGGTGCACTCACCTGTATGCACATGTGTGTGCTCAGTCTATGGCCCACTCTTTGGGACTCTACCGACTATAGCTGCCAGGCTCCTCTGTCCACGGAATTCTCCAGGCAAGAATACTGGAGTGGGTTGCCATTTCCTCCTCCAGGGGAATCTTCCCGACCCAGGGATCAACCCCGCACCTCCTGCATCTCTTGCACTGACCGGCAGATTCTTTACCACTGCCACCTGGGAAGCCCCATTTATACAAGGGAATAAATGATAACATTTATGCACGTGAAGTATTTAGCACAGTGACTACATAGAGGGAGTTCTGAATAAATGTTTATTTTACAGCAGCATTTTAAACAGCTGCTTTTAAGATTTCAGTCTCCTTTGATAGTGTTTTCCAAGTAAAATTATACTTAACCTGTATTTCTACTTTTCCTGTTCAGTGAGGGAAAATTAAGACAGAATGCTATGGTATCACCTCCTTACTTTGAAAACTGATAAATAAAGGGGAAAAAATTAAGGATTTATTCTGCCTTTTCTGTATGAGCTATACTACTGGGCAACCACATAACAAGTGAGAAGAAGTTATTCTTTAGAGAATTCCTTGGCTGATAAACAAATAAAGAATGATAGAAGTAGGATGTCATCAACTTCAGTCCCTAATGAACTAATTGATCTGCACCTAGATCATCAATGGTGGTTTGCATCCCAAGAGAGAGCCAACCAGGTATTATGTGCCTCGTGATGAAAGAGCACTATCTATGACGTAGCCTGGTCAAAAAGAATTGAACCTGTATCTGATCAAACTCTAGATCTGATTAAATTTAGGGAGATAAAAGGAACATATTATTAGAGTAAAGCCAAGGGGATACAGCAAAATCAGAACCATGGGGGAGTCAATGTGTGAAAATCTTATTTTGTCAACAAAAAAATTGCAGGACAGAGAGAGATGGAGGGGATCTTACAGCTCAAGAGATACCTAAAACACATATAAGCCAGTCACAGTGAATAGACTTCAGTTGGATCTTGATTCAAACATACTTTTAGAAATGATAACACTTATGAGACAGCTGCAAATGTGAACACTTACTAGATATTTGATGACACTAAGGAATTATTGTTAATTATTTAGAAGTGAAAATTATGGGATTTTTTAGACAACACATGTTAACTGGGAAATATGAAAAAATACTATGGTTACAATGGTAAACTTTGATCTTATTTTATTTTCAAGCATCTTCCATGAGAAACATGTGCTTTGTATTTGTTTTTCAGGATGCTGCATGATCTGAACTTTTCCAAAGATGAGATCCATAGTTTTACAGCATAATGAAGAGCTGTCATTCAACTGTTTAATCTAAATTTGTGATTACTTAGGGTTTTTTTTAAGAGAACATTTTTGTATATACTAAAAGGTTAACTAGAATCCAAGTTTCAGTTTCTTAAACAAAAACAAATGTTTCTTCACTATAGATACCTTGTGGACTTTATTTTGTACCTTAACTTATTTTACTACTGATATTTGTCCTGAAAAGTCAATCATGACAAGTACATATAGGATTCTTTGTTATGAATCACAAAGTTCCTTACCATGTAAACTGTTATCACTGTTCTACAATAAGCTCTCGTGTTTTATGACATGATAAAGCAAATGATCATTTTGATCATATTTCTATGCTGTACAATGTCTTATTAGCAATACAGATTAAATTTTACATTGCACTGTTAACTCAGGAAATGATTATTTATGTCCTTGTTCTTATTATGAAAACATGGAATGTTATAACTTATTAAGCGATCCAAACATTTTGTGTCTATGGCCTTGATACAGAGTAGAATAAAAATATGCTTAAGTACTTTTTAATCTTTGTCATAGAAATGTGTTTGAATGCATGTTTGGGGTGGTATATAAGGAGAATTTTAAAAGGCAATGATAAAAGATTCTGGAGAGACTTCACACAGGTACTTTTGGATTAGATGTGTTTAGAAACTTAGATAACTTTGACAACTATTCTTAGCCAAAACTAGAGGCATTGGGAAAGATAAAGGAAGTGTAGCCTCTGGTCCCATGGCCTAAAACAATCATTTGCTGCTTTGGAATGGATTAAATTTAAATTCTTTTTGAGTCTGCCTTTAGACCAACTAGGAAAATGAGGAACATGCCATCCTAAATGATACCTTCCCTCGCTGGCTGCTCGCCCCACAAATGCCAGTTCAGCGGGGAGCCCTCCTAAACTGCTGTGTGGTCATCTTTCTGTCCCTGCTGCTGTGCACAACCAGCAAAAGCTCTCACAGACGGGGATTCTTCAAAGGGTATCAAGAAGAGCCGTTGTGAGCTTTTCACGAGGAAACCGTGTTGGATGCATAGGTGGTTCTGCATAAGCTGACCTCGATTTTTCAGTGCTATTCAGGATAGCAGCATTGCTTTTTTACAGAAATGCCGGGGAGGGGGGCCGGGGGAGGGGTGTCTCCAAGTTCCCTGTAAATGATTTTGTAAACAGCTAAGCTTCACCGAATGAATGGTATACTCAAGAGAAGACGCAATATGAACATTCCTCAAATTACACACCCCCAGCCTCGGAAGCTGCCCAAGTGCAAGTGGCTGAGTCAGCACTGCCCTCCCTGTGTCCCTCGTCTGTCTGTCCTCACTCATCCAGGCGGGACCGGCTGTCCTGGGCTTCGGTGCTCCCTGGCGCCTAACAGAAACATTTTCTACCTCCTGCCTTCCTGCCCCCTGCTTTTCTCCCCTAAGACTATGAACTTTCTAGGCATACCTTTTTTGTTGTTAATTAGTAATATAGAAATTAATTCTACCTTAGCCAGCTTTCTTATTTTTTCTATCCTTTTTCTTCTCTCCCCCAACCCTTTTTTGACTGCCTCCAGTAAACAAAGTCTCTGTTACCCTCTGTATCTCTTCCTCTATCCTCTTCATACTGCATTTTAAAGCAAAATAAAACCCATAAGCATCCTCTCAACCTGTATATTAATAATCCTCAGATTAGCGTCTTAAATTGAGAATCAACTGAGCTTCAGTTTTACCTCCCAGATACCACCTGGATGTTCCACAACCCCCTAAAATTCAATAGATCCCAAACTAAACTTTTGCCATGACCACCATGTAACCCAACCAGGTTTGTTTGGCTGATGCTTAGCAAGCCAAAACACTGAGACGCCAAGGTTTGCAGCACAGTGAGGGTTTTTCCAGTGGTCATGTATGGATGTGAGAGTTGGATTATAAAGACAGCTCTAAGTAGGTAAAGTAGCTCAGTCATGTCCAACTCTTTGCGACCCCATGGACTGTAGCCTACCAGGCTCCCCTGTCCATGGGATTTTCCAGGCAAGAGTACTGGAGTGGGTTGCCATTTCCTTCTCCAGGCGATCTTCCCAACCCAGGGATCGAACCCGGGTCTCCAGCATAAAGAAAGCTGAGCACCGAAGAACTGATGCTTTTGAACTGTGGTGTTGGAGAAGACTCTTAAGAGTCCCTTGGACTTCGAGAAGATCCAACCAGTCCATCCTAAAGGAAATCAGTCCTGAATATTCATTGGAAGGACTGATGCTGAAGCTGAAATTCTAATACTTTGGCCACCTGATGCAAAGAACTGGGTCATTGGAAAAGACCCTGATGCTGGGAAAGATTGAAGGTGGGAGGAGAACGGGACGACAGAGGATGAGATAGTTGGATGGCATCACCTACGTGATGGACGAGAGTTTGAGTAGACTCCCGGAGTTGGTGATGGACAGGGAGGCCTGGTGTGCTGCAGTTCATGGGGTCGCAAAGAATTGGATGCGACTGAGCGACTGAATTGAACTGAGGGTTTTTTTAAAAAAATTCTGCCAAGTCAGGAGGCCAGAGAACAAGTCTCAGATCTGGAAGGGGCTGGGGTAGTTATGGGATAAAGAATAAAGAAGCAGGATTTTCTGAGGCATGGGGAGAGGTGATTGGGAAAAGGTAGGGCAATTGTCATTCTGCACGTGTGTGACTAAGCTCCAGGCCCTTGCATGTTCAAAAGTGGAGGCACTCTGCAGGACCCAAGGGTGGAGTTTTTAGCCCTCTGATATCAAAAGGTCACTGTGTGGCCATCATCTGTGCCATTTGGAACATCAGTGATTCTAAATAGTCTTAACCAGCTCAGCTCCAGCTAGACACAGTTGCCTCCAAGTTCCTAGGAAAGTAACTTGGGCAGATATCATTGTTTTGGCTACAAGCCCCTTGGAAGACAGGCAAGTCTTAAAACTGCCTTAATTAGTGAAGTCAGCTGAAGTGGATTTGAATCGACCCACAGTTTAAATCTCTCCCAAGTCTGTTCCTCCTCTTGAATTCTTGGATTCACTGGTGCTACCTTCCATCTCGCCAGTCCTAGAACTATTCAGGCTCAGTGTCGCCCTCTCCAGTCTGATTTCATTCCAACCAGCCCTTCCCTGTTGACCCTAAACCACACCAGTGAAAGCCTTAGAATTGGTCTTCCTATTGTAGTCTTTAATTACTATTCCTATGGTAGCTCAGATGATAGAGAATCTGCCTGCAGTGCAGGAGAACAGGGTTCGATCCCTGGGTCTGAAGATCCCCTGGAGAAGGAAATGGCTACCCACTCCAGTGTCCTTGCCCGGAGAATCCCATGGACAGAGAGCCTGGCGAGCTGTGTAGTCCATGGGTTTGTAAAGAGTCATCACAACTGAACAACTAACAACAACAACAAAAGTTTGCAGCCTTGATCTCACTGAAATCCATTCTTCACCCCAGTGTGTTCTAGAACGCCTTGGGAACTCCTCTAAATAGAGCCCCAGTCCCCCATTTAATGCAGCCATATACTGAGAAGCACACGTGGCTGTAACTATTATTCTTGAGCAAAGAGCTCCAAGACTCCTATTTCCTGTGTTTGCAATAAGAAAACGGAATTATATTCAAAGTCACTTTTCCTTGAGAATTCTGCTTTCTTACTTCCTTTTAAAAATGTGTTTATGTGTCAGTTTTCTATTTCTGCCAGAACAAATTACCACAAATTTAGTGGCTTAAAACAACAGCCTATTTGTTCCAAGGCTTAGATGTCTGGGCCCAGTGAGGCTCATCTGGGTCTTCTCGCAAGGCTGTGATCAGGCTTGTCAGCTGGGCTCGACTCTTCCCTGGAGAAGATTTCGCTTTGGAGACCATTTGAAGAACGTCTTTGGAAGACCATTCTGCCTACTGCAGTCTGTGTAGGGAACAGAGAGAAAATTGTCCAAGGTAAGATAATTATATTTTGTCTAGCCATGTAAACTTGTCCTAAACTAGTTTGGGGCTGTGTTTGTTAATAACTACAGCCCCCCATCTTTGGGCAGATGACAGTCTCTGCTTGGTCTCTGATATTTAGCATGGTGGTTGCTAGCTTAAAAAAAAATGAAGCCTCCACCACACCGCTTCTCTTGGTGTCTTTCTGCTTTGGTTTTCCTATGAATCATCTTCACGCACGGTTGCCAGTTTGGCAGGCCTCAGAACTCCAAAGTAACCTATCTACAATGCAAAAGCGTGTTTTCTACCCTGGTTCCAGTCCTCCTCTGCTGCCCGGTCCCCACTCATAGAATGGAGGCTCCTCTTTGGGGGCAACGTGCTGAGCTTGGGGCCCCTATAATGAGGCACTGATTCCTCACCAGGAGAGCAAGGCCTGAGGACTTCAGGCTGCTGTCCCCAGCCCCCTAGTCCTCCAGCAGGTGCTCAGCTCTCTTCACCTCGAGAGAAGCTTCTGTTATCCCAAGAATATTCATGTCCAAATCCTTCCATGGATGTATTTTTTCATTCCTCTTGGATGAATACCTACTACTGAAATTGCTGAGTCACATGGTAACTGTATATTTAATTCTATTTTATTCTGCATATATTTTTAGATCTAATGTTGAGACACGCTAGTTAGATAATCATGCTTTTGAATGTACTGTTTCAGATTTTTAAGACAATGCCAGGTTTAGTGGGTTTTTAGTTTGTTTTTCCCAAACTGGTTGTACCATTTTACATTCCTGCCAGCTCTGTATCAGAATTTCACTTCTTCCACATCCTCAACAACCTTGAATTATTAATCTTTTAAGCTTGTAGGGGTATCTTATTGTGTTTTTTTTAATTTATTCATTTTTAATTGAAGGTTAATTGCTTTTGAATATTATAGTTTTAATGCATTGTCTGGTGTCTACTCATGTCAAACTTATCATGTGCCTATTGGCCACTGGTGTATTGTCTTTCATATGGTGTCTGTTTTAATCTTTTGCTCCATTTTTAATTGGATTGCTTTTATTATTAAATTGTAAACATTCTTTTTATATCTAGATAAGTCCTTTTTCAGATTTGTTTCATGAATATTTTCTTCCATTATTTGACAGCAAATCCTATGGAGTGCTTAGTACAAGAATAAGTTTAGAGATATAAATCAATTTAAATCTGACTAAACCAAGAGAGTAAAATAAATAATAGTGCAGAGGGCCACTCTGAAGTTGATATGTGAATGACTAAAATTCTAGGACGATAACTCTGGCAATGGAGTTGGGAGAATATTCTGGAAGGGAAGGGTCAGAGAGGCAGACAGCTAATGACAAGCANTATGGACCAGACAGTGGGCAGGAGCTGTTGACATACTTTCACTTAGCACTCTCAGTCACTCAATGAGGTAGGTATTAAATACTCTGTTTTTGTTTGTTTGCTTTTTTGTTTGTTTGTTTTTGAGGCTTAAAGAAGGTTAAAGGCTTCTTTACGGCTTCTCTGATAGCTCTGTGGGTAAAGAATCTGCCTGCAATACAGGAGACGCAGGTTCGATCCCTGGTTCAGGAAGATCCCCTGAAGAAGGAAATGGCAACTCACTCCAGTATTCTTGCCTGAAAAATCCCATGGACAGAGGAGCC